CTTTTTCAAAAATATCAAACACTAAATTCTTTCCATAATGTTTCAGTGCTCCTGTCTAGCTGGTACCCTGAGCACATGCTTTGCCTGCTACATGAGCCCACTTGGCCAAAACAGAAGTTTAGAAAAGGAAAAGGGCGAGCACATAAACCTCAACTAGTGGTCAGTCCTGTGGCCCCAGGTAGGTGGGGCAGCCTGGGCTCATCGCTATTATCCAAGCTCAAGGTGATAACCCAGCCCTGCTGGATAGTTCTGGTTCTGTGGCCCACTTACTATGTGACCTTGGGCAAAACACAGGCCATTTCCAAGCCCCACTTTTGTGTCCCTCACCTGTATAAGAAAGGGGTGAGACTAAAACTATTGAATTGCCAATGACAGCTAATGACAGCTTCCTTCTGAGTTTATGATTCAGCAGCAAAATGAGGTGTGTTAGGAAATCTGCGTTCTGGCTCCTGCCTCTGGAGCACTGAGCTCCCAGGAAGGGTTGAGTGCATTGTTCAATAGAAACGATCAGGCCCCATGACAGCTCTGTGAGTGCTCCCAGCCTGGGGGAGCCACAGGCACGTAAATGCACAGGGGCAACCCAGTGTGGTCATAGTGATGACAAAGGAAAGCACAGGAACAGAGAGAGCCTAGAAAAGAGACCCTCCTTCAGGAGGGAATATTTTGAGCTGAGTCTGGCAGAAGAATAAGAGCAAAAAGTTTCCATTTGACTAGAATAAGGAGAAATAGGCTGCGAGAGGACAGGCTTTTAATGGCAGGCATGAAACACCTTTATGAACACTGTGGGAGAGCCAGGTCACTGGTTCAAGACCCACTTATGCCATGAGCTTGTTGTTTGACCTGGAGGAAGACACTATTTCTGGAGTTCAGACTCGGTATCTGTCTCCCTGCTCTTTAATAGAAGTGGGGCAGAGGAGAGAGGAGGAGGGTACAATTGAACCTGGTGGTTCTGAGTTTCCTCCCCTCAAACTCCAACTCATCTTAACTCAATGACATTTAATCCAAAATCAACTTCTCTGAGCTCTGTAGACATGAAGGAAAATGTCATTTGCATCAGTCTGGGTATAAAAAAAAAGCCCTGACAATCAGCTGTGTAAGTCTGGCTAGCTGAGGGTTAACACTTTCAAGTTGAGATATAACCATTTTTTCTTTCCTACCTAGGTAATGGGGGCCGACCTTGAGAGCAATTTTTTTTCTTTCAAAGTAGTGTTCACAGTGACATGGTCTGTTCCATGTGTTTTAAAATTGAATTTATTGGGGTGATATTGGCTATTTGGGCTATATAAATTTCAAACTTATATATGTAAACTTATACAAACTTTTTATGTATGCAATTCTATATACATAATCTGTATATTGCATGTGTATTTACCACCCAAAGTCAAGTCTCCTTCTGCCCCCATTTACCCCCGCCCCTTCACCTTCTTCTACCTCCCCCTACCCACCTTTCCCTCTGGTAATCATCATACTGTTATCTGCATCTATGAGTGGGGTTTTTTGGCTTAATCCCTTCACTTTTTCACCCAGCCCACTTCTGACAGCTGTCAGTCTGTGGTATCTATGGCTCTTTTCTTCCCCCCCAGCACTTTCTTTTTTTAATATGTTGTATGATTATGCTATTACAGTTGTCCCATTCCCCCCTTCATTCCCCTCCACCTTGCACACCCCCTTCCACCTGCGTTCCCCAGCTTTAATTCATGTCCATGGGTCATATACATAAATTCTTTGGCTTCTACATTTCCTATACTATTCTTAACCTCCCCCTGTCTATCTTCTCCCTAACATTTATGCTACTTATTCTCTGTACATTTCCCCCCTCTCTCCCCCTCCCCCTCCCATGCTGATAACCCTCCATGTGATACCCATTTCTGTGATTCTGTTCCTGTTCTAGTTGTTTCCTTAGTTTGTTTTTGTTTCTGTTTTAGGTGTAGTTGTTAATAACTGTGAGTTTGTTGTTATTTTACTGTTCACATTTTTTATCTTCTTTTTCTTAGATAAGTCCCTTTAATATTTCATATAATAAGGGCTTGATGATGATGAACTTCTTTAACTTGACCTTATTTGGTAAGCACTTTATCTGCCTTTCTATTCTAAATGATAGCTTTGCTGGATAGAGCAATCTTGGATGTAGGTCCTTGCCTTTCATGATTTTGAATACTTCTTTTTCCAGCCTCTTCTTGCCTACAAGGTTTCTTTTGAGAAATCAGCAACAGTCTTATGGGAACTCCTTTGTAAGTAACGTCTCCTTTTCTCTTGCTGCTTTTAAGATTCTCTCCTTATTTTAATCTTGGGTAATGTAATTATGATGTACCTTGGTATGTTCCTCTTTGGGTCCAACTTCTTTGAGACTCTCTGAGCTTTCTGGACTTCCTGGAAGTTTATTTTCTTTGCCAGATTGGGGAAGTTCTCCTTCATTATTTTTTTAAATAAGTTTCCAATTTCTTGCTCTTCCTCTTCTCCTTCTGGCACTCCTGATTCTGAGGCCAGGACATTTAAACATTTCCTGGAGGTTCCTAAGCCTATCCTCATATTTTTGAATTCTTATTCCTTCATTCTGTTCTGGTTGAATGTTTCTTTCTTTCTTCAGGTCTACACCATTGATTTGAGTCCCGGTTTCCTTCCTGTCACTGTTGGTTCCCTGTACATTTTCCTTTATTTCACTTAGCATAACCTTCATTTTTTTCATCTAATTTGTGACCATATTCAACCAATTCTGTGAGCATCCTGATTACCAGTGTTTTGAACTGTGCATCTAATAGGTTGACTATATCTTTGTGGCTTAGTTGTATTTTTTCTGGAGTTTTGATTTGTTCTTTCATTTGGGCCATTTTTTTTTTCTGGCCACACATGTTATGTAGTAAGGAGCAGAGCCTTAGATGTTCACCAGGGCAAGGCAACTCATGTCACATTGTGACGCTGTTTGTGGGGGAGGGGTTTGAGAGAAAATAATGCTGCTTGCTCTCTGCTGGTTTTCAGTCACTTCCCTCGCTACCTGCAAGCAAATTGGGCCCTTCTGTGCTGATTCCCAAGTTGGTGGGTTTTTGTACATTTTAGGATCCTGTGGGTCTCTCCAATGAACTCTCCTGTGAGGCTGGGAGTTTCTCCTACTGCTTCCTCAACCCCCACAGGTGTTTTCAGTCAGAGGATTTGAGGCTTTATTTCCCCATGCTGGAACCCTGGGTTGCATGGTCTGTCTTGCTCCCCAGTTGTTCCTCCTGGTCTATCTTCATTCAAATGTGGGACTGCAACCTGCTGCCTCACCGAGTCCACCAGCTGCTGCCTTGCCTCAAGTCCTTTCTGCCCAGCTGCCCATATCTGCCCCTCCTACTGGTCTGGATGAATGTTTCTTCTTTAACTCCTGGGTTGTTGGACTTCCATAGAATTCAATTTTCTGTAAGTTCTGGGGTTTTTTTGTTTTTAAATTTGTTGTTGTCTTTCTTTTGGTTGTGTAAGAAGACGCAGTGTATCTACCTACACCTCCATCTTGGCCAGAAGTCCTATACTCTGTTTTTATTTTGTTGGTTAGTTTATTTTGTTCATTAGATTCCAGATATAAGTAAAATCATGTGGTATTTGCCTTTTTCTGACTGGCTTATTTCTCTTGCCATAAAACTCTCCAGGTCCATCCAGGTTACAAAAGGTAAGAGTTCCTTCTTTTTTCTTATTGCTGAGTAGTATTCCATTGTGTGAATGTACAGAGCTTTTTTTGCCTACTCACCTACTGATGTGCATTTGGCTATTGTAAATAACACTGCAATGAATTAGGGGTATATATATTCTTTCAGATTAATGTTTTGGGTTTCTTCAGATGTAGTCCCAAAAGTGGAATGACTGGGTCATAAGGAAGTTCCTTTTTCAATTTTTTGAGGAAGCTCCGTACTGTTTTCCACAGTGGCTGCACCATCTGCATTCCCACCATGTGTCTTTTTAGAAAGACATTTACCAGTCTTCACTCCCCAACAGGAATCACGCCACTCACCACACTTAAGAGACTAAAGAATAAATTTAAATTTCTGGTTGTTGCCAACCATATCAGCTTGGAAAGAGAAAGAGCCCTGGTCTGGAAGTCATTGGCCTGGGTCCCAGTCCAGCCTCTGCGGCTGACTGGCTGTGTAATCTTAGGCAAGTCCTTGCCCTTTTTGTCTAAAGGAAAAAGCTAACTGAATATTTACAAGTTTGGTATTTTAATGTTTCAAAGGCATGAGAACTGTCTTATCAGAAGTAAGACAAACAGGACAGTTCTAGAAAAATCAGGGAGGAACTGCTCTTAAAATCATCAGGTTTGAAGAGGCAATGATATAAATGTGACTGTGGACTTGCTCCTGGATCATGACCATGGACTTCGTCCTGGATTGCTTATTCAGAAGGACATCCCCAGTTATCAGAGTGGTCATTACTCTCCCACAGTTGAAGACCTCCAGCTCTTTGGGTGAACAGAAGCACACATATCCCCTTCCTTGACAAGAAGAGTACAACCTCTGGTGGGCAGCAGGGTGGATTTTACCTTTGGCATTTGTCACAAGAAGTCCGTTCCTCTCTGGTCGATGGCTCACAAGACTTAAGATTCCAGGTAACTATAGCACCTTCTCAGCTGGGGAAGTCTGCAGACTCTTGGTTCATCAGGAATGTCTGCTGAGCAGCAGTACCAGCTAGGGTTAAGATCAGAAGAAATCTTTCCAAAGCACATTTCACCATCATAATTCAATAATTAACTGTTTAGATTTGATTTTTCCCAGTAAAATGTAAACTCTGAGAAGTTGCCTGCCTTTTTCACTTTCTCCACTGTGTCACCTGAATGCAGCACAATGACTTCCAGTTGGTAGATTATTACTTAATAATTAACATTTGATCAAAGAAGAAAGGTAGGAATTTGGGATTCACTTGGTAGAACTCAATACCACAGCCCACCATCAATCTTCCAGAGTTGGTTGTAAATAATTGTGCTTCTATGAACTATCAAGTGGACATTATAGAATCTCACTCTAAAATCCTTTCTTTCTATGGTTTTCAGATATTCCCAGTATCCAAATATTCCAGCTGTCAATTTCCCAGAAATCCAGCTCTGTCCTGCTATGGAGGCCACAACCTGTAATGGATCAGTGGATGGTTCACCAGTCTTCTACCTGGTGGGCATACCCTCTTTGCCAGAATCCTTCTTTCTTCCTGTGTTTTTTATTTTCCTCCTGTTCTATCTACTCATCCTGATGGGTAACACCCTGATCCTGGTGGCTGTGGTGGCAGAGCCCAGCCTCCACAAGCCCATGTACTTCTTCCTAACCAACCTCTCTGCTCTGGACATCCTATTTACCACAACCACTGTCCCCAAGATGCTGTCCCTATTCCTGCTTGGGGACCACTTCCTCAGCTTCCCTGCCTGCTTACTGCAGATGTACCTCTTCCAAAGCTTCACATGCTCTGAAGCCTTCATCCTGGTGGTCATGGCCTATGACCGCTATGTGGCCATCTGCCACCCACTGCACTACCCTGTCCACATGACCCCACAGACCAATGTGACCCTGGCAGCAAGTGCCTGGCTTGCTGCCCTCCTCCTGCCAATCGGAGCAGTTGTGAAAATCTCCCAGATGGCTTATAACAACAGTGCTCATATCCACCATTGCTTCTGTGATCACCTGGCTCTTGTTCAGGCCTCTTGCTCTGACAAGACCCCCCAGACCCTCATGGGCTTCTGCATTGCCATGGTGGTATCCTTTCTGCCCCTTCTCCTGGTGCTTCTCTCCTATGCCCACATCCTGGCCTCAGTGCTTCGCATCAGGTCCCAGGAAGGACGCTCAAAAGCCTTCTCCACCTGCAGCTCCCACCTCCTGGTGGTTGGCACCTACTACTCCTCCATTGCCATAGCCTATGTGTCTTACAGGGCTGACCTGCCCCCTGACTTCCACATCATGGGCAATGTAGCATATGCTATTCTCACACCAATCCTCAACCCTCTCATTTATACCCTGAGAAACAAGGATGTCAAAGCAGCCATCACCAAAATGTCATGTCTTAAGACCAAGTCTGAGATAGGAACCATTAGCTTTAAAATGCAGCTAATCCTGCTTTAGGGATACCATAAATATTGTTGATGAATAAATTAATGAATATAGTATGATAAAAGAAAAATTAGTTAATCAGACACATTCAATAGTGGCTCTCACGTTTCAGTCCAGGGTTTTTCCCCTGGTATAATGGAATGTGTTAAGCTTTATAGGAAATATTAAACTGTCATATTAAAATTTCACTACTTCATACTTAGTAATACAAGAAGCCCTTTCTAAAATTTAAAAAAAAAAGTCTGAGTGGGAAAAAAATCCTTTGTAAGCAGAGCAAAAAATATACATATAAAATATATCACAGAGAAATGACAACTAATCATAATATATAAAGAATTCCTAAAACTTTAGGAGAAAAAGTCTACTATTCCAAAATAAAAATGAACAAATGCATGAAAAGGCAGATTACCAAAAAATGCAATGGTCTCTTAACAACGAAGATATTCAGTCCACTGAATAAAAAGAGTAAAAATTAAAACTACACTGAAATGCCATTTTTCATCTAATCAGATTAGTAAAAATCCAATATTTGGACAATCTACATATGGAAAACCAGAACTCTCATAACTTGCTTGAGAGAATGCAAATTGGTACAGAACTCTAATGCCTACCGAAAAAAATGTGGGCATTTTCCTTTTAAGAAATCTCATCTAGGAATCTATTGCAAAGATACCGGCAATAACTCATTAGGCTAGTCATTTATCCCTAGGGACCTGACTGAACAAACTATAAAAGTGCAGCTATAAAGAGAAATGAAGAAGCTCTTTATACAATGATATGGTGTCATTCCTAGGATATGTGGTTAAGTGAAAAAAAGCAAGCTGCAAAACACTGTTTTTATAAGAAAGTAATAAATTTTTCAGAAATTTTAGAAAAAAACAAGAATTAAACTAATGATATCTTTACCTATAAGGAGGAGAGAACAGAGTGGAGGCAGCAGGAATGGAAGCAAGATGAACTTAAATGTACAGTCTAACTTTAGACTATACAGTTTGTAGATAATTAAAAGAAAACAAATGGAAAAAATCCCAGTATTTAAAACAAACAGAAACACTAGACCCTGGCTATCAAAATAATGGCATGACCATGCAGAAAATTACAAATGACTATAACAACAGTGCTTGAACTATACATCTTAGGAGGGATATAAAAACAAGAAAAATCATAACATCTTTAAACCTCATTGTGTAGTCTTTTCAAGAATATGTTCTATGCACCCAGAACAACAAAGCGGGAAAGATGGAGCCTAGCCTCGGGGCTCCTAGCAACTGGCGTTGGAGACTGATGAGCGCTCCACCTCAGCATCATCCTTGTCATCCTTCACTCGGAGGCCACCCAGTATACTGATGTGTCCCCTGCCGCCGCCCTTTCTTCCCACAAATATGATCTTCGTGGTGGGAAGCTAAGTTTTTTAACTACCCCAATGGATATAGACAGTGATTTTGCATTGGACATTCTAATTACAAATGTAGTCTGTGTTTTTATAACAAGAGGCCATTTGAACTTAAGGAAGATTGCTTTGGAGGAAGCAAATGTAATTTATAAGTGTCATGCCAGAAAAGTACTAATGAAGCTTAGAAAACTTAGAATTACAGCTACAATTTGGTCCTCAGGAAAAATTATTTACACTGGAACAACAAGCAGAGAAGCAGCTAAATTTGCCCGACGTTTAGCCTGTAGTCCGCAGACACTAGGTTTTCAGGTAATTTTCACAGATTTGAAACTTATCAACGTTTTAGCAGCATGTAATATGCCATATGAAAACCGTTTGCCAGAATTCACAAAGAATAATGGACTGCATGCCAGTTACAAAGCTGAATTTCATCCTCTCTGTACGATGAGGTAAAATCTCTATAAGCTACATTACAGATTTTTTCACTGGGAAGTATCAGAGTAACAGGACCCAAAGCAAAGGCTGTTGGTACCATTGTGGAACAGATTTACCCATTTGTATTTGAAAGCAGGAAAGAAGTTTTATGATTCATCCCTTATTGATTAGAATCCCCAACTGAGCACCTTTTAAAACCTGCTGCACATTGGACTCAAAACAAAAGGAAAACTGGACCAATGGTAATTGAGGAAATAGACTATTTTAGCCATTCTCACTACAGTGTGAGCTCCAGTCCCTTTGGATTTTATTTCAGACTTTGCTGTAATGGAAAAAGGAAGTTACAAAAAAGGAAGTTGCTGCTTTTATAGAAGGACATTCACAGTGATCCTCACGTCCCCATTGGTGGTCCTGTCCCAGTGTACACGACCTTGATGTATTCTGTTCTTATTTTTTTCCATTTTGATCTAGTGTGTTTTACTTGTGAACTGTCTTTTACACTTTTGTATGCTGAATATGGGCACAAAAGAACCTGTGAAAGTTATCTTTTTCAATTGAATGTGCACAAATAAAAGTTTGGAAAAGTTCAAAAAATATAAAAATTTTAAAATGTTATAATTTTATTCCTTTAAAATAGGTTAGATTTAAATTATATATTTCTATAACCAGGGCCATTTGAGTGATATTATATTTACAGAGTTGTAAAGATGTACAGAAAGTTTGTTTACCCTTCCTCCAGCCTCCGCTAATGTTAACATCTTACCTAACCAAGGTATATTTTCAAAACTAAGAAAATAATATTAGCTGGCAAAGAAAAAAATTAGGACAACTGCACTAGAGTAACAATAAAAAAAGAAAATAACATTGGTAAATGCTATTAACTAAGTTTCTGACTTGATTGAAATTTCTCCAGTTTTTCCATTAATGTCCTCATTCCATTCCACTCCATTTAACCACCAAACCAGGAAACCATGTGAGTTTAATTGTCATGTTTCTTTAGTGGACAGTTTCCTAGTCTTTCCTTATCTTCATGATTTTGACACTTTTGAAGAGGAATGGTAAACTTAAATGCATATTACTAAGTAAAAGAAGCCAAGCAGAAAAGGCTACATGCTACACAATTCCAACTATATGGTATTCTAGAAAAGACCAAACTGTGCAGACAGCAAGAAGATCAGTGGTTTGGTGACAGACACTTACTCGACTAATTGTGATGATCACATTGTAAGGTATACAAATGTTGAATCACTATGCTGTACAATTGAAACTAATAAAATATTGTATGCCAACTATAATTTAAAGAAATATCTTTAAGGAAGCACTTAAAAACAAAAGATCAGCTGTTGCCAGGGGTTAGTGGGAAGGGATAAACAAACAAGCAGAGCACAGCGAATTTTAGAACAATGAACCTACCCTGTATGATCCTATTATAATGGATACACATCATTAAACATTTGTCTAAACCCATAGAATGTACAACACCAAGAATGAACCTTCATGCGTACTATGGTCTTGGGGTAATAATGATGTGTAACGTAGGTTGTAGATTGTAACAAATGTACCCCTGTGATGCCGATGTTGGTAGTGGGGAAAATTGTGCATTGTTTGTGGGATAGGGAATGTATGGAAATTCCTGCTCAATTTTGCTGTGAGTCTACAACTGCTTAAGATTTAAAATTTGTTAATTTTTAAATAAATTCAACAAAAATAAAATTTTAAATGAAATGAAATTTGCTAATTTTTTAAAAAGTCATTGTTAGGCATTTTGTAGAATATTCCTCAATGAAATGTCTCACATTTCATCATGAATGGACTGAGGTTGTGGGTTTGGGTTTGACTGAGATAACGTGCCCTCCTGCCATGTTGTATCAGTGGGTAAATGACTTCAATACAACTTATTAACCTACTGCTCAGTATATGGTTAGTGTATGTTTAGCTTAATAAGAAACTGGCAAACTGGACATACACTTTGCTTCCTCACACAATCAAAAGAAGGATAACAAAAATTAACCAGAACTGCCAGAAAATTGAACTGTATGGAAGTGTGACAACCAAGGAGTTAAACAAGAAACATTCATCCAGACTGGTAGGAGGGGTGAAGATGAGCAGCCAGGTGGTAGCTGGAGAACCAAGTGAGGTGGCAGCTGGCAAAGTGGGCGGTCCCACATTTGCATTCAGATAAACCAGGAAGAACAACTGGGGAGCAAGACAGACTGCACAAGCTAGGGTTCCAGTGTGGGGAAATAAAGCCTCAAAGCCTCTGACTGAAAACACCTGTGGGGGGTTGAGGTGGGAGCAAGAGAAACTCCCAGCCTCCTGGCAGAGTTCACTGGAGAGACCCACAGAGTCCTAGAATGTACACAAACCCACTCACCTGGAAATCAGCACCAGAAGGGCCCAGTTTTCTTGTGGGTAGCAGAGGAAGTAACTAAAAGCAAACAGAGAGCCCAGCAAGCAGCATTGTTCCCTTTCATTCCCTCCTCCACATACAGTGCCACAACGAAGCTATGTGGGTTGCCCCACTCTGGCCAATACCTAAGGCTCCACCCCTCACTACAAAACAGGGATGACAAGACAAAAAAAAAAATACAGCCCAAATGAAAGAACAGATCAAAGCTCAAAAAAATGGAACTAAGCAATAAAGAGATAGCCAACCTATCAGTTGCAGAATTCAAAACACTGTTGATCAGGATGCTCACAGAGGGACTTCCGCCAAGATGGAGGCATAGGTAGATAAGCCGTGCCTTCTCACACAACCAAGTTTAGAGACAACTAAATATTAGCAACAGAAAACACAGCCAGAACAGAGAAAATTAAACTTTTCGGAAGTCTGTTAACAACAAATTCTTCAGCCTGACCTGTAAGGAGCGAAACCAGCAGCTGGTGGAGCAGGGTTGCACAGGAAAACTCTGTCAGATGGACTCAGGCGCGTGGAATCCGGCGCAGGGTTGGACCTAGTGAGCGACCAAGCGAGCAACCGCGGGGAAACAGCAAGGGCAGGGCTGCAGGTTGACTGTGGTCGTGCATTGGTGCGCGGATAGACAAGTGAGGGAGTGGGCAATTGGACCGGGACCCAGCCGTCCTGCGGCAAGCGGCAGGGAGGGCACCGCCATTTCCCTGCTCTGACCCCACCTCCACATACAGTGTCATAACCCAGCGACCTAAGTGGCCCCGCCCAGGTGAA